CTGAGAGCGAGAATTCCACAAAGTCGTCCTCGATTTCCACTTCCTCAACCATTTTCCGGAGTCGCTCATCCCAGTCAACTACAGAGCTGTCTGTCATTTTCGACTCAAGGTGCTCCTGGACTTCCTTGGTGAGCTGCGAGGACGTGCGATCGTTGAGCATCTCGCCCCACCATCCCGTCCTGCGGTTTTTCTCGCCTTGCAATTGGCGGAAATCATGCCAGGAGCCTCCGAGAATGCGGCTCAGGCGGGCATCCTTCCATTTGGAACGGGAGGCCTTGCGGAGGCGATGGACCTTTTTCCAGTCAGCTTTGCATTTGGAATGCCTGGCTACCCGGATCGCATCTTTCGTGTCTTGGTCATCTTTAAAGGCCTGCGACGCGCGGGGCCTAGTATGCTGCTTCCCAAGGGCGGAAACGTCTTCTGCATCAACGATAACCCCGTCCGGGATCTCGCCACTTACCCATCGAGCACGGGAGTCATTGTTCCAAAACCTCGCACGTCCTCCCAAATGAGTGAGAACATCCGCGTACGCAATGGCATGGTCGGTCCCAATCGTATGCCTTCTCTCCGGGTCGAAGGTCACTGTACTGACATGGAGGAGACGAGACTGTAGTAGATCGATCTGGCGTCCCTGTCGTTCTTCATCTCTGGGAAAATGCGAGGGGCAAAGCCGTTGCTGATAGGAAGGAGGGCAGCAGCGAATCCCTTGTGTCGTTGCTTCATGCAGTAAACATCTGAAGTTGGAGGATCCTTGCGCAATCTGGAGTTCCGAGGGATCAACCTCATCTTGATGCCAGCTGACTTCCTCATTCGAGTCCACTCCACACAGAAGGGGATACTGACGCCATTTCGCAGGAAGAGCATGCCAAAATTCAAGAACCGCTGCTTGGTATACGGCGTTAGTAGTGCCAGTATGCGCATGTAGCGAACCAACAACCACACGACCAAGACCTCGCAATCGAGCAAGAACCCAGATGCCTCTCTTACACCCAATCTTGTGGACGATGCAGTCAAGTTTGTCCCCCGCTATGCCAATTGCAACTCCTCGATACTGACTTTCAGCTCTATGAATCACCCATTCAAAGTGGTCGGTATGAAGCTCATCCCACCCTGCTGCACCTCTTGCAACCTCCTGCACACAGAGAACGTCTATGTCAGCGGCTGCCAAATCCAGGAGTTCAAGTTTCTGCCCTCCCAGGTTCCAAGTCGCCCCACGTCCCCATCTATGTAGTCTACACCGGCGAGAAGAGGAGCGAAGATCATGTCGTCCCTTAGGGCACACAGAAGAAGGAACCTCATTGCGAAAGTCGCCGCCGCCATCGAAGCAAAACGAATTCTCAGTACCTGCATTTTCCGGTGTGAAACAACTGTCGTCCCCTTTCAGTCACAGCTCCCTCTCCAGTGCCGCACGAGCAACGTCAAGAGAGCAACCCGTTACTGCAGCAAGAGCGTCAAGGGAAACCCACCCACCGCTCATGAGGACATGTTCGCCATCACGGGGAGGTTTATGCGTAGCGCTGGCCAGTTTGTGCACCCCACACCAAATGGTGCCGAGAGCCCAATCACAATCATAGGCCGTCTGGAAAGTGTTTTCAATCCTCGCTATGCCTCCATTCTCATCTTTGGTGTCCTGGGCGAGAAGGCAGGAGACACGACGGACTAGGCTCACATGTGAGCTTTTTGGCTCTTGCAGCTTTGGTCTTCACGAAACTCGCCCACAATGGTTTTCCCTCATCTCCCCCTGCCCGGGTGCTGGGAAGCAAATGCTTCAGAGTCGCAATGGCCTTAACCGTGTCCCACATCCTAGTGCGAAGCTGCTGGAAATTCTCCCCTTCACGAAGCTCGAAACGAAGCATGCCAACAGATCTCCGAGGTCCATAAATTTGAAGTCGCCCCGAATCAATGAGGGTCTTGATGCTGTCCAGACCCAGCACTGTCGCCGATTCTTCCTCAATGACAGCTCTTTTGGTGTCTCGAAGCCATCCTCCCACCACGAGGGTTCTCTTCTCCTCATCTGTGAGCTCGTTGTTCTTGTCCGGGATCTGCAATGTCTCCCCAGGAGCCAGCGCACCCTTGCCGTCGTCAGTCACCCCACCAGCCGAGCGGCGCTGACGAAGGTATTCTCCCCAAGGATCACCCCCAGCAGGAAGAGGAGGACCGGGAACAGCGGGGTGTTTTGAAGCAGCCGGGCCCTGAAGGGAGTCAAGCTGCACCTTCATACTTTTAACTTCTTCCGTCAACTCATCAAGGTTCCTGGAGGTTTGATCTTGCTGTTGGCGAGAAGAAGCAGCATCTTTTTCAAGAACTGCAGTGCGTGTCTTTAGCTGGCTAAGATCCGAGGACTGAGCTGCCTGTTTGGACTCCACTTGCTCAAGACGGCCATGAAAAGTGTTCCACGCATCTTTCATTTCATTGACGTGGCCAAGAAGGAGAGCACGAAGTTCATTTCCCGAAAGAGGAGCATCACCGTGTTGCGGCCTTTTCGAAGGGCTGTCCAACTCCTCGTCATCAGCCGGAACGGCAACGCGGGCGGCAGCACGCTCCCGTCCTCGTTTGCGGTGTTGCTCTTTCTTAACTCCCTCACCCCCGTCTTTGTCTGCATCAGAGATATCAGCCGCCTCTGTAGGGGATTCTACAGGATCAATCAGCATCTCCACCTGTTCATCCACCTGTCGGTCGTTCTCCATGGTCCCGCACGAAGAGGATGGCGGAGAAGTGAGAAACAACGTGGAATCCTGGAAGATCACCCCGTCAAAGTCCCTCTCGAAGCAAAGCAGACCCCCCAAAGATGCCCTCGTTGAACAGGGATGCAGAAGACGCCCACGAGGACCGCAGACGGGAAGAGGAAGACCACGCGGGAGCCTGGACGATCACCCCAACTACAAAGTCAACCTCCGTAGCCGACGAAGACCCCGATGGTCAAAATGAAGAGGAAGAAGTCGCCCCCCGAAGACCGCACAACGGAACAGCAAGATTTTCCTCCCAGAGGATGAAAGACTGCACCCCAGCGCACGATCAGGTAACCCAAGTAGAAGAACTGGCCGCCCCGGAAGCCCAGGTCACCGGAGATCAGAGGTGATTGGTGGCCATATGGGCTTTTAG